ATTTTTTAAACAAATGCTGGAAAATACAGAACTACTTTCCAAAACAGAAAACCTCTTACTCTTCCTCAGAAAAAGTAATTACAGTTGATCTGAAAATAATGTAAATCAAAACATTAAGAAGAATAATTTCTTACTTTCAAGTTTTCTTCACTGCCAAAAGTTGGGATTCTTCAGCCTGGAGAAGAGAAGGCTCTGGGGAGACCTTATTGCAGCCTTTCAGTACTTAAAGGGGACTTATAAGGAATATGGGGACAAACTTTTCAGTAAGGCCTGTTGCAATAGGAGAGGGGGTAATGGTTTTAAACTAAAAGAGAGTAGATTTAGACATATATATGCCTTAGCATCCATATAAGGATGTAAGGAAGAAATTTTTTACACTGAGGGTGGTGAAACACTGGCACAGGTTGCCCAGAGATGTGGGAGATGCCCCATCCCTGGAAACATTCAAGGTCAGGTTGGATGGGGCTCTGAGAAACCTGATCTAGTTGAAGATGTCCCTGCCCATGGCAGGGAGGTTGGGCTAGATGACCTTTAAAGGTCCCTTCCAACCCAAAGCATTCTATGATTCTTTACAGATTGGTTTGGCAAGTAAAAGAATCCTGCTTTGACATACGTGACCCTGGACACTATCATCAGACACACACATCGCCGAGACAAACAGATTTAACATGCCATCCCTGCAGTAACTTGCAAAGTAGATGCTTTCTCTTCTCACTGAGTTTGGTTCCAGGATTGTGTAATCCTGGTCAACTTTAGGCTCCTTTCAAAGGCTGGGAGGGACTGAGCGACTCTCAAGGGAAGTGCTATCATTCAAAGCTTAAGGCTTAAATTCCCATTCTTTACCTCCCTAGCTAAGCAATGTTTTCTCATAGCAACCTAAAATGCTTCTAGGTAGGTGCAGTGCTTCTTCAGCAGAAAGAAAGTTAACGGGCTCTGAAAACAGGTTGCCTGCCTTAGTCCCATAAGCAAAGTCATTGCAATGCACAAACCATCCAAGTAGTCTGTGAGACCAATTTTATAATGAGTTGAAATGTGATGAAAATCATTCTTCATTCCATGCACACCTCCAGCACCAGGTGCTGCATCACTTGACAGCTGGGACCTCACTCATTAGTGTGATCTGCTGTTGTCCTAGTGAGTCCACTGGCTTGTCAAGAGCCATGGATCCTCTGTTACCTCCAGGATTAAATGATTGCATGCTTTTTAAAACTGCTCTCACGAGAGCACAGGAAAGTAGAAAAGTGTGGCTCGAGATGATGGATTCACAGTGAGAATGTTTGAGCGATACATTTAATTACCTAGACATTCTCAATTTGCACCCTCAAGGAGATAAAACTAAATCTTTCCAAGCTCTTTTTATTCCTTCAGCTGATTTCAATTGCCAAAAGATCCCAGTTTCCCAAAGCTGGATAGTTGTAGCACAGTCAGCCAAAGTACCCAATGCAATGCCAGGTTTTTTGATCAAGCTCAAGAATAGTTCTGCTGATGAACTTCAAGATTTTCACCTGCTTTAAGCCAACATTGTTACTTCACCAAAAAATTATTTTGCATGAATACCAAAAGCAATTGCTGTTGCCTTTTGGCAGCACTTTGATTTTAACATGAGCAAAGTCAGTAACAACTTGTTCCCTAGTTTCACAAGGAAAAAGTGGAACTTCCCAAACTGAACTTGTCATTATACTTCAACTATGTCACATAAAATTTTAATACACTTGTATTTATGAAGATTATGGTAAATATTAATGTTATGCCATTACAGAAGTGTTACTTAGCATTTGTAAGTCTTCACTATAGTAAAATTTTGCTTTGCAAAGCAATTCAGAGTATAGGAAGAATATCTAGTATAAAATAAAGTGGTTTAGAAGAATTCCCCCTCATTTTGACTTAATGGCATACAAAGCTTAGGCTCTAACTACAATTAATTCGCTAGTATCCTTTATAATATACACATGTTTTGAAAAATATAAGATAAACAGAAAATAATTACACACACTGATGGGTAATTTTAAACAGTCTCATCACGAAAATGTACATGGTTTTGCAGCTCTTCTGGTTGTCTTTGTCTAATAAAGCAAAGATGTAACTGGTTTCCCCAGCAGTGGGATCACAAACAAGTACTGTAAAATCTGTTTATATATGAGAGAGGGATAAAAAGAAAAAAGGAATAGTTCTTAAGGGAAAGCTTTCCAATCATTTTCCAATTAAAATCCTAGCCCTGAAACAGTACTGAACTTAGATAATGAGAACACTGAGGCAAGCTGTTAATTACTTTTTATTTCTGTGGAAATTGCAAGATATTTTGAGTGTAATTGGTACAGCTCCTCTACAGTATTACTCCAAAGGCACTAGGAGGAGCTCTAATTGTTCCTCAAAGGGGACTAATTACCCCCTAATAGCTGTTAAAGTAGGCCCAGTTTACTAGGTTTGTTAACGTAGATTTTTACGTAGAAAGTACAAAATACATCCATACTACAGAACAAATTTTATCAATGTTTCTCATTACTGTGCACTCTCTCTCTGTACATATATTTTTATATTTATCTACTTATACCACCATAGCTGAACTGCCAAGTGACCTGACTGGAAGCCAGGTCTGTTCATGTGAAACAGTCTGGAAATTTCAAGGGCCAACAAGAAGATCCAGAATCACCAGACTGCAGACATTCTTCAGTGTAAGTCTTCGCCTCATCCTGCACACAGGTGTCAGCATAGGAGAAGTGAGTGCTGTGCTCCCATTACAGTGATCCACCAAGGGGCAGGAACCACTGGCCTTTGCCAACCAGTGAAAATTCTGGTGATGAGTGCATCATTCACAGCATGGAGTTCATGGCCTTAAAACAGGCTCTTTCAAAAAAGTTAAGAAGTTGTGTTTATGATGTCAACCCGAGGTGCCAATAACCGACATTTCTGTGCTGAAAAGGGTTCAGCTAGATGTTCCCATGCAAGACGGGTATCCAGTGAGTTACAAGTTGAGCATTCTCTACCTACCTAGAAAATCCGGTCATAATGATGGTGATGCTCAAGTTCAGCATCCATAGGCTCCAGACACCAGGGGTATCTGAGAAAATTGGGAAGCATTTAGATGACTTGATAATATAACATGCACGTTAGCAAAACTCTTACCCTGAAGCATACCATTAGCTTCTCTCAACTAGACTGGACAGGTGGTATTTAACCTATTTTAGAAATTGATTTGTTAATAAGAGAATGAAGCAGACTGACACTGACCAATAGAGCCCTGCAGTGGATATTTATAGTTCTTTAATGCAATTGTAAAAAAATCAGTGCTATTCAGAAAATAAGAAGCAACTGATATTAGGACCATGAATCATAACTTTGGTAACTGAAGGAACTTTAAAACATATTGGCAATAGGTTCTATTTACAAAAATGTTTACTAGTAGCGACTCCTTGGAGCTGCCATGCATTGATTTGCTTTCCAGAAAGGCAGACACAAGTAACTCTGGAAACATCCTAATAACTACAGATCATGACACTCATTATTCATCATTCTCAGCTCAAAACTAGAAAGTTGAAAGAGATGCTTGAGTGATACAAGTCACACTTTGTGCAGACTCCATGCTTAGCAGCACTCCAGTAGTGGCAGAAGTCACCTCAGAAAGCAGCTTGAAGTAACAAAGGATTGAGAACCAAGGGTCATCTTAATGTTCACACAGTGATCCACGATCTTAGCAAGATTTTGTTAATTATGGTGAGAAATTAATGCCTAGGGACGAAAGCAAACTGGAGCCCACAGATGCCAGTTTTGGTGCTTGAGCAGAATGCCAGTCAGGAATGATGTGCCTTGAAGTCAGGACAACCTTCTTATACTTCCTGTAGTATTGAAGGACATGCAAGTGGTGGGACTCCGTGGTGTGTACCAAAGTCTCAGTTGCTTCAGTCATAGTAAGTCCTCCATTCTTCATTCAGCTTTTGAACAGCATTATTAATTTTCTTACCTTGGGATTATCTTTTAAACTCAATCTCTTATCTAAGTTTGGAACCTGGGTGTCTTCTCATCTGAGTCCATGACAACCTTCCAATAGATATCCCAAATGTTTCAAACTTTATGTAATGCAGAGAGACTGCTTTTCTTTAAACATGCATGTTTGCTACCACTGCTGCTTGGAAAAGAATCACACATCTGGGCAATGCTCCGTCTATACACAGATCAAGTCTCATAACCTTTAAAGAGCACTATCAAGAGCACTGTCTATAGAACAACTGGAAAAGAAATCAGTAAGGCAAACATCTGCCCATGCAGCTTGAAGACGGCAGCCTAGCCAATAACTCTAATTGTGAAAAGGAATCTCATCTCCAGCAGCTGTAGTACCCATTTTTGGAATTTGCAGCACAGATCAAATCACCTCAACCTCAAAAGATGGACTCTAAGACATCCCATCCCAAAATGAGTGTAAGAGAAGCTTACAAGTGCAACAAAATGCACACATCAGTGCCCACCATGGCTGCATCATTCTCTGCGTATCTATTCAAAGCCCAAGACAAACGTTTACTTTCCTCAGTCCAACCGATGATCACCAAATGCTACTCCCACAACAATGTAGTTTTCCTGCATTCTGCCTTCATCTTGGCATCAGGCGTGTTTCACTCAATTCCCTGTTATGCCTGTTTTTCTAATCTGCCTCTTCTTTGGCTAGATACGGCTGCAGAGAGATGGTGGTTACTGCTACCACTCCGCTTGGGCATCCTGATCAACTCAACATTACCCTAAAAGGGGGAAAATAAAGCTGTTAATCTGCCACCTTGCCACGCATCCAGGCAACGTCATCCTCCTCCTCTGCTAGGAGTCCTTGAAGTAGTTAATCTGATGAACATCTACAAATTCAAGCTCAACTATATTCAATAGACACTATTCCAAGCTAAACTGTTCCAGTGATCCTGAAAATATCTGCCCAGGAGGACTTAGCCCTCTAAGGCAAGCAAGCCCTGCTTTACATACCTTGGAGTCAGTAGATACACTCCACAGTTCTTACAGCCTACCAGTTTCACACTTGTAGATCTGGTTTTGCAGCATCTGGAAGAACATGGCCATCCTTGGAAGTCAGGAAGGAGTTAACGCATGTCAAGGGGTGATGCAAATTTTTATTTTGTCAGCTGAACTGTCATCTGTGTTAGCACGCAGTAGAGCTGAGGAAGCAGAGAAACGGTACTTCTCTACAGAAATATTTTGGATGTACTGGATGTTTGTGACACTGAGCAAGAGCTGGAGGAAGGGAATTAGAATCACTTTGTGGTTTCAGAGCTGTCACACAAAAATGAATTTTAGGCACAGGAATTTAAGAATAGGAAAGATAAAGTGAGCTCTTTGTAGGCAGGTCAAAGGATAACGCTCAGAATATCAACAGTATGAAGCTGTATAAAATGACAGCCTTTGCCTCCATCTGTCCAAACAGATTTTTGTGTGGAGTTTGGTTTTGGCAGGGAATAAAGATTAAAGAGCTTAGACAGCGACTCTTGTATTAAAACCTTTTCTCGAAGTCCAGAGCTGCACTTAAAGCCTGTTGATGAGCGGAAGAGGATCGCCTTTCCTTCCAGAGTGTCATTGCACCGTCCTTTGAAACCAAACATGCTGCAGCTGGCAGTACCACACTCCATGCATACAAATCTAGCTAAAAAGCCCAACTGTGTGAGTTTTCTGTGTTGACTACCCATGCATTCAGTAACAACCAGGGACTCTACCTGCTGGGTTACTGATGTTTTGGTACTGTTTCTTGACTCCAATAGCAGTTTTAGCATTATCATTGCACTTACCCACTCCAACTTGAACAACTTGAACTGCTCAGCACCAGTACAACTTGCATGTGTCAGTTATTTTCAACCACTAGCAATAATCCACACTACTTAGACTGTGCTTCAGCATTGCTTGTTTCCTGCTTCAACTCACAAGACACAGCTGTTTCTAGGCTTTCATTTTAGATACTGGCTGGCCCAAACATCATGGCTTCAGCTCCTAAAACCCAATGATATTCCACAGCATCATCACTGCAAGTCTTATCCTGACATCTGGTGTGCAATATGGCGTAAAGATGACAGCCTAAACCTGTCTAAAATCATATACTACCACAGCAGGTTTACACGAGTACTAAAAGAGTATGAACAACATAAAACATCTTTAAGAGCAGCATAAAAGAGAAAAGCTTCATGATAACCACCATAAGCCTTGTAGATGTGCCACCTTAGCTTCTCATCAACAATTTCACTTATCACTGAGTTCAATTTATGTAATGCCATAACTCTGTATTGATTGCTGTTATATCTGTAGGAAAAAAATGAAGGTTTTGGGAGTATTTCACATTACAGATTAAGTAGCAGCTGAATTTTGGCATTGACTGGATCATGTCCATCAGTCTGTCCCATACACAGCAGCCACAATTCCCACGTCTTTCAAATCACACTTGCTGAAAAGTTATATAATTAGATTCTGTTCAATCATTGATGGGATTCTGAACATCTTCACACCATCTTATTCTTCTGTACAGTAGACAAAACACATAAAATAACTGCAAACTAGTGCTTGACATTTATTTAGTATAAAACCATTGTTTTTCTGTTTTTCCAGACTGTGGTACCCCTGTTAGGTCACCAAGTGGTTAGCTATTTCCATTTTGCCTTGAAGTCTGCACAACAGTATTTGTTCCATACTGACACTGATACACATATTTTCTAGCTTGGAAGGGAAGAATTCAGTGAGTTAACAAAATACAGGTAGAGACTGGTATATGCAGTTGAATGAAGTGTGTGCAAGGAAAGCAGGACAGAAAAATGGAACCCTTTTTAAATTCTATCTTCAGTAAGAGGCAGTGCCCACTCATCACTGCCCAAGACTTTAGCCCCTCTAGGATCTGTCCCTTCAACATGCATAAAATTAATTCCTTCTCCAGTGAGGCTGCATATCCCATTGCTGCCTCTACTAAAAGTAATGTCCAAGCTCTACCTGAATCACATAATACAGCTGCCTCAGCTTTGTACCTAACCACATGCACTTATGAGCTGAGATAGTCCTTCACAGGCCAGATATCAAGCAGTCCTTACTCCCATACCTCCACAGGAACAAGACTCACACACAGCTACCATCATTATATTGCCACTAGTCAAGGTATCAAAAGCCACATAATCACAGAATCACAGAATAGTAGGGGTTGGAAGGGACCTCTGTGGGTCATCTAGTCCAACCCTCCTGCCGAAGCAGGCTGCAGAGGACCTTGTCCAGGTGGGTCTTGAATATCTCCAGAGAAGGAGACTCCACAACCTCCCTGGGCAGCCTGTTCCAGTGCTCCGTCACCCTCAGAGGGAAGAAGTTCTTCCTCATGTTCAGACGGAACTTCCTCTGCTTCAGTTTGTGCCCATTGACCCTTGTTGTGTCACTGGGCACCACTGAAAAGAGCTTGGCCCCATCTTCCTGACACCCACCCTTCAGATATTTGTAAGTATATATTAGGTCCCCCCTCGCAGCCTTCTCTTCTTCAGGCTGAACAAGCCCAGCTCCCTCAGCCTCTCCTCGTAGGAGAGATGCTCCAGTCCCCTCATCATCCTCGTAGCCCTCCGTTGGACTCTTTCCAGTAGCTCCTCATCTTTCTTGAACTGGGGAGCCCAGAACAGAGATCGCTGTAAATTTCTAGCTTTATGCAAGCATTAGGAATCACATCAATTCAGCTAATTGTTATCCTTAACCAGCTATTAGCTCTGGAGAAACTGCAATAAGAAGAACATGTCCACCATGAAGCCATTAGCAAACTACAAAGCTACCACATACTGTTTGTACTATTCTTGCATAGGCAGTAAATTAGCCTCACTAGGAGAAACTTTGAAAGTTTTCTATAAATAACGCAGATTCTCTATGAAGCAAGGATCAGAAAAAGGCTGTTGAGTGCTGAAAAGCCTGTTTTGAATTCAATTGCAAATACATTTCACCTTTTCAGAGATGGAAGCCTCTGTACTGCTAGTACAAACATCCACCTTTTGTACTGATACAGTTCTACACCCACTTCTACCCCAGTCCATAGGTATCATTGATATTATTGGCAAAAAATTTCTTTACTGAAAGAGTTGTGAAGCATTGGAACAGGCTGCCCAGGGCAGTGGTGGAGTCACCACCCCTGAAGGTGTTCAAAAAACATGTAGATATGTCACTTCAGGACATGGTTTAGCAGGCATGGTGGTGTTGGAGTTGATGGTTGGACTTGATGATCTTAGAGGTTTTTTCCAACCTTAGTGATTCTGTGATTTTGTGATTTCAGATCAAAAAGGTGTTTTAGGCTTAGCCAGCTATGGTCTAAATATCTCCTCACCCCTTCAGATGAGTACAAGAGTGGGGGGTGACAGAGACAATAAGCAAAGGACATGGGATGATATGAAAGGAAGGGATCACGAAATCAGCAATACGAGGCCTAGGCAGGGTCACCTCCAGTATTTGCAGGTAAAGCAAGGAAGTGCTTGCAAGGCACCACTATGGAGAAATTTCCAAAACCCTTTTTAGTAAGTCAACGTGCTGGGGTGCCTCACTGAAGTGCCTCTATACTAATGCACACAGTGTGGGGAAGAAACGTGATGAGTTACAGATCTGTGTGCAGTTGCAGGGCTACGATGTCATAGGGATCATGGAGATGTAGTGGGATGCCTCCCATGCCTGGGCTATTGCAATAGAGGGATACAGACTCTTTAGGAAGTCAGGCTGGGAAGACAAGGGAGGGGATTTGCGCTTTACGTGAGAAAGCAGTTGGAGTGCAGGGAGTTCTGCCTGGGGATGGATGACGAACCTGAGGGAGCTGGCCGATGTCATCACGAAGCTACTCTCTGTAATCGTTGATTGACCACAGCAGCTGGGAGAAGTGCCTGAAGACTAGAGGAAAGAAAATGTCACTCATCTTCAAGAAGGAGGACCCAGGGAACCACACGCCAGTCAGACTCAGTTTGATCCCTTGGAAGGTGATGGGACAGCTAATCCTGAAAAGCATTTCTAAGCACATGATAGAAGACAATCACGAGAAAGAGTCAGCATGGATTCACCAAGGGCAAGACATTCTTGACAAACTTGATAACCTTCTGCGATGAAATGACTAGCCTGCTAGACAAGAGGAGAGCAGTGGATATAGTCTACCTAGAGTTTAGTGAGGCTTTCAACACTGTCTGCCACAAGATTCTTCTAGACGAGCTATTGAAGCATGGGCTGGATGAGCAGACAGGGCGGTGGATTGCAAATTGGCTGAATGGCCAGGCCCAGAGTGTGGTGATCAGTGGCACGAAGTCTAGCTGGAAGCCAGTAACTAGCAATGTACCTCAGGGGTCAATATTGGGTCTAATCCTGTTTACCATCTTCATTAATGATCTAGGTGGTGGGGCAGAGTGTACCCTCAGCAAGTTTGCAGATGACACAAAACTGGGAGTGGTGGCTGATATGCCAGAGGGTCCTGTTACCACCCAGAGGGACATTGACAGGCTGGAGAAACGGGCTGACAGGAACCTCATGAGGTTCAACAAGGAGTGCCAAGTCCTGCACCTGGGGAGGAATAACCACATGCACCAGCACATGCCAGGGGCCACCAACCTGGAAAGCAGGTTTCAGAAAATGACCTGAAGGGAGTGTGTAATGAAGATGGAGCCAGACTCTTTTCAGCTGTGTCCAGTGACAGGACCAGAGGCACAAACTGAAACACAGGTGATGTTATTTGAACATCAGGAAACACTTTTTCACTGTGAGGGTAACTGAGCACTGGCACAGGTTGCCCACAGCACTGGTAGGATCTCCCACTTTGGATATATGCAAAAAGTCTGTTCGTGGTCCTGGGCAACCAGTTCTAGGTGGCCCTGCTTGAGCAGGGACGGTGGACCAGATGGCCTCCAGAGGTCCCTTCCAATCTCAACCATTTTGTGATACCATATTTATTGGTTCCCACATTGCTTCCCCCTCAGCTTCACTGAGCCATTGGGACTATTTCTCACTGTGGTGATACCTTCCCTTTCCTCAGCTGCACAGAAACTTCAGGAAAAATTTGTCCCCAACATTTGCACAGTAAAGCCCCGAGTGTCAGATTA